GTCCCAGCTACTCAGGAGGCTGAGGCAAGAGAATCGCCTAAGCCCAAGAGCTGGAGGTTACTGTGAGCTGTGATGCCACTGGGGTGACAAAGACTCTGTCTCTAAAAAAGATTTGATGGGTTTTTCTTTTCTTTTGAGATAGAGTCTCACTTTATGGCCCTTGGTAGAGTACTGTGGCATCACACAGCTCACAGCAACCTCCAATTCCTGGGCTTAGACAATTCTCTTGCCTCAGGCTCTGAGTAGCTGGGACTACAGGCACCTGCCACGACACCCGGCTATGTTTTTGTTGCAGTTTGGCCAGGACCAGGTTGGAACCCACCACCCTCAGTATATGGGGCCGGTGCCCTACTCAATGAGCCACAGGCACCACCCTTGACTGGTTTTTCTTAATATTTAAAAGTCATAGGTCCAGGTGCAGTGGCTTATATCTATAATTCCAACTCTTAGGAAGGCCAAGACATGAAGACTGATTTCTTTTTTTGTAGAGACAGGGTCTCACTTCATTGCCCTCCCACTGAGCCACAGGTGCTGCCCGAAGATTAATTTCGTGAGGTCACAAATTTGAGACCAGCCTCATCTGGGCAACATAGTGAGACCCCACCCTCACAAAAAACTTAGAAATTAGCCAGGCATAGTGGCACATGCTGTTAGTTATAGTTGCTAAGGAGGCTAAGGGGGGAGGAATGCTTAAGCACAGGAGTTTGAGGCTACAATGAGTTCTGATTGCACCACTGCATTCCAGCCTGGGTGACTGAGCAAGACCCTATCTCCTGGGTGGAAGGGGGAAGAGGGAGGGACCCAAAAAAGTAATGAAAGAGGGGCAACGCCTGTGGCTCACTGAGTAGGGCATCAGCCCCATATACTGAGGGTGGCTGGTTCAAACCCAGCCCAGCCAAACTGCAACAAAAAATAGCCTGGCCTTGTGGTGGACGCCTGTAATCCCAGCTACTCAGGAGGCTGAGGCAAGAGAATCACCTAAGCCCAAGAGCTGGAGATTGCTGTGAGCTGTGATACCACACTATTCTACCAAGGACGATAAAGTGAGACTCTTATCTTTTTTTTTTTTGAGACAGAGCCTCAAGCTGTCCTCCTAGGTAGAGTGCTGTGGCATCACAGCTCACAGCAACCTCCAACTCCTAGGCTCAAGTGAGTCTCCTGCCTCCGCCTCCCAAGTAGCTGGGACCACAGGCGACCACCACAATGCCTGGCTATTTTTTGGTTGCAGCCGTCATTGTTGTTTTGGTAGGCTCGGGCTGGATTCGAACCTGCCACCTTAGGTGTATGTGGCTGGTGCCTTAGCCACTTGAGCCACAGGTGCCGAGCCCTGAGACTCTATCTTAAAAATATATATAATAATAATGAAAAAGAAACTAAAATTCTATAAGCTGGTGGTGCCTGTAGCTCAGTGGGTAGGGCGCCAGCCATATACACCCAGGCTGGTGGGTTCAAACCCGGCCGGGCCAGCTAAACAACAATGACAACTACAGCAACAACAAAACAATACCCAGGCATTGTGGCAGGCGCCTGTAGTCCCACATACTTGGGAGGCTAAGGCAAGAGAATCGCTTAAACCCAGGAGTTGGAGGTTGCTGTGAGCTGTGACGCCACAGCGCTCTAGTGAAGGTGATAAAGTAAGACTCTGTCTCTACAAAAAAAAAAAAATACACTGTGGTCAAAAAGGTACCTTAATAATTGGATTTCACTAATGAAATATAAAAATGGAGCACTATTACCTTGAAATTATTCAGATTACACACACAGTTCAGAATTTCAAAATTTGATTACTTCTATAGAAGATGTACACTGGGCCCGGCACCTATAGCTCAACCGGCTAAGGCGCCAGCCACGTACACCTAAGGTGGCGGGTTCGAATCCCCAGCCCGGACCCGCCAAACAACA